TAAGTTATAGTGAGATGACTTTAGCCTTTTAAATATTATCCTATAGCATTTGAATTGCATTACAACCACTTTTGTTTAGGGTCCCTGGTACATTTTTGATACCTTAATATTTTCACATATAAATTTTTTATTTTTTTAATATTTTCTCAATCAATAATTATAAATCATCTAAAATAAAATTAATAATTGAGATAGATTTCACTACAGTATCAATACCTTGCCTTATCCTTCTTTCTGTAATTGTATATATATTATAACAGAAATTGCAAAATAAAAATAATAGTAATAATAATAATAATAATAATATCTACTAAAATTATTATTAAATATTGGATCACAAATTAATGTGAATAATAAGATCAATGAGTCCCACAATCTTTCGCTAAGTATCCAATAAATACTAAGTGTGCAATTTGGGCGGGTTGAGAGGTCAATTATAACCTAATCTTATGTATATAATCTTTAAACTTAATTCAAGCAGGTTTGAGTTGAATTCGGGTTACTTAATTTAAGTTGATTTCGGATTAAAAATTAAGTTGGACTCAGGTTACTTAATTCTGGTTAATAAAAGAGAGAGAAGTGACGAGTGAGGGAGAGAGACTGACAGTCTGAAACGAGTGAGAGAGGGAGACTAAGAGTTTGAGACCATATGAGAACTGAACGACGAGTGAAAGATGGATTTGATAGTGAAAGAGGTACAAGGGTAAAGACTTGAAATGAAGTGAAAGTTTGAATTCTGAAGAGTGAAAATAAATATTAACTCTAGTTAAATATATTTATATATTTATGTATATTCAGATTTAACTCAATTTTTAATATTCGGGTTGAATCTGACAACTTGAGGCCTCAACCCGAGGCCTGTCCAAATTCAATTCAGGTTAGAGTTTTTTTGCTCAGGCTTAATCCAAATATTAAAAATTATAACTCAAGTTTTGTTTTTTTTCTTTTTTGAGTTGAGCTCGAGTTGAATTTGGGTTGACTCGCCCAAATTGCACTCATAATAAATATCAATATACCATATCGTTTCAAATTAAAAAGTATGAAAATTTCACAAATTTTAGTCACATCCCTTCTAATTTATTATATTTTAAATGACACCCCCTCTATTTTTTAAATTTTTATTGACACCCTATCAAATTAAAGGCCTCAACTAAAATATAATTTTGCTAAATTGTCTATGATATATTTTAAGAAAAACTTCATCTACATCTCTTCTATATAGACATATCTATAATGAGACTTCTTCTGTTTGATGAAATTTTTTACGTATTAAAATTCGAAATGATTAGAAATGAAATTTAATCGGCCCAAACATAAAAACATATAAATTTTAGTCGATTCAAATTTTAATACGTAAAAAATGAATTTTAATCAATTTGAATAGAATTTTAATAACTAAAAAAATTATTTTTTAATTGACTCGAATCGAATTTTAACCGGTGCTAACAATTCAAATTGAGATCAAATCGATTGATATTTTAATATGTAAAAAAATAAAATTTAATTAGCTTAAATTTTAATATATAGAAAAAATAAATTTTAATTAACTCAAATTTTAATATAATTTTATGTAAAAGGATTGTTTAGAATTTATGTAGGGCAATTTTAATATTTTAAATGAATATTTTTTGCTAGAAAATTATGGTTTAATGGTAAAGGGTGCTAATATTATTTAAATATAAAGTAAAAAAGGTGTAAGTGATATTTTGAATAATAGTAAAATCTATTTAAAGATTTAATAAATTATAAGAGGTGTGATTAAAATTTTTCTTACAAATTTTTCTGGTCTCGTCATATAAAATTATCAAAAAAAGGCGGCGGTGGGGGTGAGTGGCAAGTCAATAAAAAATCTGCTCTCTGACGTAATTCGATAAAACAAAGACTAGGGGACCACAATGGCGCCGTTTTTTGGATTAAGACACATGGTGTCCGTACGACAATTTCCCATAAAGAGGGAACAAAAATTGGTGGCTGTACACGTGGTATTTGTACGATGAATATCCCATGACCGTTTTTTCCGGTATATATAAAATAAGTTCTTGCCCCATTTTATTACAGCTAACTTTCTTCCGTCCTTTTGAATAGCTTCCGTTTAATAAGTGAAAAAGTAAATGGATGAAAAGTTGGAAGAATAGAAAATTGAAAGGATAAATAAAATATTATATTTGGTAAGAAAGAAAAGTAGGAAAGATAAAAAAGTTGATGGATTAACTTTTTTTATAATTCACCAAAATCAATTTCTCTAAAATTAGAAGAAAAGTGAATGAAAAATTAATTATTTGTATTGAGATATATCTTATTTGTCTATGTATTTTATGTATACATTAATTTCATATAAAAATACAATGGTAAAATATGTATATATATTTTAAAATTTTAATTTTAAAAAAATAAAAAAAATTTAAATTTAAAAAAAAAAAATTCCTCTTAACTAAGGGTACAAATTTTCGACTCAACATGATAACACGACTCGACACGACACAATTAGTTAAATAAATAAAGTTATGTTTAACTAATATACGACACAAACTCGTAATGACTCAATACGAATCTTACACGACACGACTTGATTTTATTGTCACCCTTAATCTTAGCCAGCAAAAAAAAAAATAGTCATTTTTATTTTTCATCTATTCAACCAAACACAAAAGAAGGAAAGTGTATCCTTTCTATTTTTTATTTTTGAATGATATAAAATGTATTTCTTCAATTTTTTATGTTTTGTATCAGACGGGACATTAGTCTTTTTTTGTTTTGAACAAAATGATGTGCCTGATTACTGACAAAAGCTTCCTGGATTCGTGTAATATCCCACTAGTCACATGAGTCAATTAAATCACAGAACAGGGCTTAATTGACTCGTGTGGTGGCCCAAACCAGTCAATTAAATCACATGGCTTACGTTTTGAGAGTTTCCCCAAAGATTTGATGTGTTGATTGTTGTCAAAAAAAGTCTTTATCATTTGAATTGACCGTTATTATTACATCCACATATCCTGTTTTAACTATTATTATAATTATATATTCTGTTCATTCAAAAGTCTCAAAATTTTAATAACACCAGTAAAACACGAAAACCGCATGAATTCAAAATATCATGGTGTTAATATTACACGTCATTAAAAATGAAACGTTAATGCTTTTTCTAGTATGACGAAAAAATAAAAGAAAAAAAAATTAAAAACATAAAAAGTTAGAAAGATAAATAAAATATTATTTTTAATAAGGAATGATGAAAAAGTGGATGAATTAATTTTATTTCTAACTCACCAAAATTAATTCTTCTAAAATCGAAAAGAAAGTTGATGAAAAGTTAATTATTTGTGTTGATATGTATTTTATTTGTCTATATATCTTTTGATATATATATATATATATATATATATAAATTTTATATAAAAAAATAATGATAAAATATGTATTTATATATATATTTTTTAAAAACTTTTAAAATAAATTTTTAAAAATTTCATATTAACTAAGGTTAAAAAATTTCAGCTCAACACAATGATATGACTCGAGCTCGACATAAATTTTATGACATAAACTTGATTATATCTCAACACAAGCTTGAAAATGACCTGACATGCTAAAAAGAAATATAAAAGACTTATATTCAATTCAACCAGTCAAACTCAAAATTAACTTCATCAACCTGTTTATTTAAAAATAAACACTTTCTCTATTTTCTCGTTTGTATGGTAACATGAAATTAACATGTTTAACTAGTATTATAAGCATAAAATATTAATTATTTGTAACTATTTATTAAGTACTGACATAATTATTATATATAAAAGATATTTTTATTTATTATTATTATTATATTTATTTGAGTTAATTTTTAGTTTGTAGAAAAAATATTAACATGTATTCAATTAAGTGAAAATATAATATTAGTGTTAAATTTTTGATTCAAAGTTTATGTAGGTAAACATGAATATGAATATGAACACGACACGAAAATAAACAACTCAACTTGTAATTCGACACAACACAATTAGTTAAATAAAGTTAAGTTAAGTTTGACTAATATTCGACACAAACTAATAATGACTCAACACGAATCTCACACGACTCGATTGTCACACCTAATCTTAGCCAGCATAAAAAAAACATTAGTTATTTTTATTTTACATTCATCCTATTAAACCCAAAGGAATGAAAGTGTATCATTCCTACTTTCCTTACTTGAATAATAAAAAATGTATCATTTCTACTTTCCATCCTTCCCACCAAAGGAAGCATAAAACTCATTTGCAGCTATCAAAATTTTCTTCTTTTTATTAGTCCCTTTGTTCCATAATTAGAGACTTTCCTTCTCTTTTACATCTTGCAAAATTGTATTCTTATTCAAAACTATTAGGAAATCCGATTTCTCAGGATATCCGAAAGGTGTAGCCATCCGAATAAATCTAGTGAAGACGTGTTAATTAATAGTTTCTAGGATTAGACCTCTGTTTGGCTACTGGTTGACAGCCTGACCATAACCCAAACTGAATGTAACATAGATTAGTCAATAAAGGCATTTGAATGGACAATTATTATCCTTTCATTAAAAAGATAATGAAAATATGGATAAGGTTAGGGAACTGATGATTTCGATATTATATACTTTCATAAATTTCATTTATTGTTTTTGAATAGAATGATGTGCAATTATTGATTGATTCAATAATTCTTGATTGCTCTTGTCAATGTAACTGTGACCCTGATGAATTTTCATTTTTATTCCCACTTATTTTGACAAAGACATTGAAATGTCGGCTAAAATACACTTTCATAAACATAACTGCACATATATCTACATTGACTTCCCACAAACAACCCACAAGGGGCCGGCTTTACCTTAACCAAATCAAACATGAAACCAAAGAAAAAAAAAGGTATGAAAACATAGCAAATTTAAGGAACCACCTTGTCTTAATATGCAAGGTTGGTCTTTATTGTTACATTCATTTACACCGATGGCCCCATGGAAGAAATTTATGCTGTGGAACTTAGAGTGATAGCCAACCTATGTGAGGTCCAAAGAGCTTCGTGCCAACCTGCACCTCATATTCATTTCCGTTGCCCAACTTGTAAATTCTCATAGCATCGCCAACTTCAAGATTCTTTGCCACAGCAAAGGCGTGCCAGTCGAGCGTCAGAGACCGCCTCCCTCCTCTCCTCTCCGATGCTCGAAACTGATATGTTGTTCCAGCTCGATCACGTACAAGCATGAGCTCATCATCGATCGGCAAAAACGGTGACCCGTTAGGTATCTCTAAATTACGCTCAACATCTGAATTTGTGAGTATTTTTGTAAAGCACATAAATTTAGGTTCCATTTCTCACAAGTTCTCAACCTTGTAGAAAAGAAGATTGATTAGATTTAATTTGTGACTACGAAGAAGAAAGAAAAGGCACGAGCAGAGAATGAGGCCTAGTTCTCTTAGAGAAACATAAACTTCGTTTCTGCTCTCTCTCTCTCAATGTGCTTCATGGCTTCCCATTTGAATGGAATTTATGCTAGTCGATGAACTAAAAGTCAAAAGGGTAGGTTGGCTCACTTGGTCTCTTGAAGTCATTTTATGCACCCCACCAACTTAGAATTGTCGGCTTTGATTGAAGACATTTATTCAAATAAAATCATTTTATTCAAACAACCCCCCCCCCCCCCCCCCCCCCTATCCAAATAAAATCATTTCAACATGACTTGGCCACATTGTTCATCTTGTGGACAACCAGAGTAGTGCCGTAATTGAGTTTCCAACTAATCCTTCATATACTATGTCTTTGTCTAACAACTAATCCTCTCATAAATTTATGCCTTAGATTTCAGCTTACTTTCCATATACATATATATAAAAATAAAATAATATTTATTTATTACATGGGTCACTACTCGTACGGGTACAGAATGATATTGATGGAACATTTTTGAAAAAAGATAGATCGGGGGGGACACGTGTCCTCGGCTCGACAAAAACCCTTGACCCCAAGATGGACAAATATTCCTCGGTGCCGAGGTGTTCCTTTTGTACGCTGGATCCCACCTCTCATTTGTTTCTGCAAAAGCTAATGATTGATAGATGGCTAGCCTAGGCCAAGCTAGGCTAATCATCATGAAGACGCTCTGCACGATGGTGTCAGGGGGCGCAGGAATGCAAAACATGCAACCAAGGAGGGGAGGACGCGTGAAATTTGATATCAAATCAGTAGCAAAAAGACCTGGGTACCCCTGTTGACACACGACTGGAACAAGTAAGCATTTAATGAATCCTCTTCCTTATGAGACAACAATTAAGACATGGGAGCCGAGAAGTGAAGTGCATTAAAGACCCCCATGCCTGAGCATTTAATGCATCCTCGCCGAGAAGGAGAAATTGAATGATCGACAGACCGAGGAGTGAGCTTTAAATGCTCGGCATCCCGATCAGTTAAAGAAAAGCCCATTCCACATAAAAGTGAGAGGCACACTGCCCCATCTCTGACAAATATCTGCTGAATGGACTGTTAGCAATCATGAGCTTTTGAAAGTATAAATAGTTCTCAAAAATCATTAAAAAGGTACACAAGAACTTCTAAGAAATAACTACAGTGCTTTCTCCTTCCTCTCTCTCAAAGAACTGACTTGATCGTCGGAGGGGATACGCCGGAGAGCACTCCGATACCCTTCTAACCTGTTTTTCTGTGTCACAGGATCCCCCTACAGTCTTCCAAAATCGGTCAGGCGACCCAACAAACAATTCATTACTAGTCCTTAGGGCCTTTTTGTCCCTCTCAACCTACTTCTTGTTGCCAAAACCCACTTTTGGATGGGTCAAATCTCTACCAGAGGTGATCGAAAATCCTAAAAGCAAACCCTACGTTCCGTCGAAATTATTATCTTCTCAAACCACAGTTCATCGTAGGAGAGATCTGTTCCTACTTCTACTGTTGTGCAAAAATCAGCACGCACAATCTGGCGTCGTTTGTGGGAAATGATTAGTTTTTTCAAAGAATAATGACCATGATGAATACTCGACAGAAAGGAAGGGGGCCCCAGCAGAAAAACCATGATTTGCAAGCTCCTTCTAGTTCCGGAACGAAGGATCAAGTTGATGGTGTAGACAGGAATATCTCCATTCAATCGAGGGGGCATACCCGCTAAACCAGTATGAGCATCAGATTAGGAAGATCCGCCCCATTGGCCCATCAACTAGCGAAAATGATCGAGGAGAAGTTTGGGGGTCGATTACGGCAGTTAGATGAGGACAACGTGAATGTCCTTAACCGTCTCAATGAATTTGCGACTTTCGGTAAAGGATCTAGAGGCTCGTTTCGTTCCCAGGAACCCTCCATCAGGGAAGTGGAAACAGAAGACTTGGGGAATCACCTGAACAATAAATTTGAAAGTTCCAAGGCTCCAAATCGTCCGAGGGCCAAAATGCATCCCCTAGATGTCTAGACCAAGAAGGCAAGACCTTTGGCTTGGGATGACCTCCGTCGGGGATTGACAGGGCGAGGGGGCGTGGAGGAGTCTGAGGGTCAACCCACTCCACTCGGCACCCAGGAAGGAGGTATCCCGTTAGCCTACACAGGGACCTTAGAGGGGTTCCCCCCGAGTTGGGAACTGACCTTTGAGCTCAGCTTGATGCCAAGAGGAGTAAAGTCATTCAGGAAGATGACACCGATGATGAAACTATCCAATCCCCCTTTACCAGGGACATTCGAGAGATGGAGGTGCCAAAGATGTTTATAGTGCCAAGGTTCAAAACTTATGACGGACGATCTAATCCCAAAGCTCACCTCAGACAGTACAAACAGATGATGTCCTTTTACCATTCTGACCATCGGCTCGTGTGTCGGGTGTTATCCATGAGTTTACGAGACTCCGCTATGAAATGATTCGAAACCCTCTCTCCCAACGGCATCGGATCATGGAAGGAGTTAACCAAGTAGTTCTCTGCTCGGTTTGTTACAGGAAGTAAGTGACCTAAGGATGTTGGGTCCTTACCAACCCTCAGACGGAAGGAAGGAAAAACTCTGCCAATATGCCACGCGTTATTGGGAGGAGGTCAATGAGGTGGAGGGATGCTTAGAAGTCATGACAGCCGCCTCTTTCAGGCTTGGCCTGACAAGAGATACAGATCTATACCGGTCATTAACCAAGAAGACCTTGTCAGACATGAGTGAATTAGTGGCCCAGATAGATAAGTATTCTCAGATCAAGGATAAATGGGAGGGGGCAGAGGTAGGGCCCCCACCCCCAGGAAGAAAGATAGGGAGAAGGAGGACGCCTCTCAGAAGGGATTGATACCCCCCTCCGTAAGCTCTTTTAAAGGAGTCCACACCGTATTTAAAGAGCCTATTTACAGGCTGCTCCAGAAGATCCGGGGTGAGCCATTCTTCAAATGGCCACCTAAAATGCAGAGTGATCCGTCCACCCGGAATCAGAATGTCAGGTGCTCCTATCATCGAGATGTGGGGCATCGTATCGAAGATTATAGGGTGTACAAATATTTCTAGAAAAGTTGGTCCACGACGGGCACCTCAAGGAATACATTGAGCCAAAATCTAAAGAAGTTCGGGCCCCCAATAACTCAACTGTTATTCAGGACAACGTAATAGACGTGGTTCACATATGTCCACTAGCGCGTCCAACGTCCAGGCACCTTGAGTCCGATCTCAAAAGGGTGGCGTTCACAAGGAAGGTGGTTGAAGAAGATGAGGGCCAGCCCAGCAAGAGGGCTCGAATTGGTGATCACAACATTGCATTCTCTGACGCAGATCTTGTAGGCATAGTTAACCCCCCCATAACGACGCCTTGATATTAACATTGAAGGTCGGCAACTTCGATGTTAAGAGAGTACTGGTAGACTCTGGGAGTTCTTTTGAAGTGATGTACTCCAAAACCTTGAAACGAATGGAACTTGGTCCTAAAGATCTCACCAAAGTCAGGACTCCCCTCATTGGATTTAACGGTTCATTTGCCCTATCGATGGATAAAATCACGTTGCCAGTCATCACTGGGCCTATCACTATCAACACGGAGTTTGTTGTGATTGACATAGACTCACCTTACAACATTATAATGGGGTGAGCCTGGTTGCATGCACTGAGGGCAGTGCATTCCACTTATCACCAGAAGCTGAAGTTTCCAACCCCGGAAGGGGTAAGGGAGATCCGAGGGGACCAAGCGTCTGCCAAAAACTGTTTTTATTCAGCTGTCAAGGCAGGGATTTCCATCTAGGAGAAGGGCGGGCCCAGGAGGAGATCCTGGATAAATAGCAATCACAGTCCTGGCGTCTTAGAGTGGACGACCCCTAGACAGATCCAGTAGAACAATCGGTGGAAGACCTTTGAAAAATGCCCCTGATAGACGGGGAAGAGGAAATATACTTCTTGATTGGTTCCACCATGCCTTCAACCGAACAAGCTGAGATGATAGATTTTCTGAAACAAAATATAGATGTATTCGCCTGGAATGCGATGGAGATGAAGGGGGTGGACCCCGAAGTGATAATCCATAAGTTTCATGTTGATTTGACACACAAGCCAGTTAAGTAGAAGCCACGGCACAAGGCGTTGCATCATGCTCAGGTGGTGAACGAGGAAGTTGATAAAATCCTAGAGGCCAACACCATCCGGGAGGTCCAGTTCTCAGAATGGTTGTCAAACACAGTCTGCGCAAAGAAAAAAGAGGAAAAATGGCGTGTCTGTGTGGACTTCACTGATCTGAACAAGGCCTGTCCTAAAGACGACTTCCCACTCCCAAGGGTAGATCAGTTGGTGGAATCCACTGCAGGGTATCAGTGCATGGACTTCCTGGACGCCAGGGCAGGCTACCATTAAATCCCCTTCCATCCGCCTGATCAGGAGAAAACAACCTTCATCACTCCGAGGGGGGTTTATTGCTACAAAGTCATGTCGTTCAGACTAAAGAACGCCGGAGCTACTTACTAGAGACTTATGAATCGAATGTTCAAAAGGCAGATTGACAATACAATAGAGGTCTACATTGATGACATGTTGGTCAAAAGCAGAAGAAGTTGTGACCACCTAGTGGACTTGGCCGATACCTTCTCCACCCTTTGGGAGTATGAGTTAAAACTGAATGCAGCGAAGTGCGTTTTCAAAGTGGAGTCGGACAAATTCCTCGGATATCTGGTGAGTCAGTGAGGAGTCGAAGCTAACCCAGATCAAATCTAAGCGGTCTTGGACATCCGAAGTCCTCGGATGGTCAGAGAAGTTCAAAAGCTTTCCGACATGTTAGCAGCGCTTAATCGTTTTATCTCGCACTTCTCGGACAAATGCAAACCCTTCTTTGGAGCCATAAAAAGAGCTGAGAAAAATGCATGGAGCC